TGACTTGCTAGAATTCTAAACATCGGATGAAATATGCAGGAGTCTGCGAGCTCAGGTTCCGGGCTGAGCGGGAGATGGAGCGTGGACATAAGGACCGGTGTCAGGTTCTTCTCTATTTGCTCTGCCCACTCACCCCTCCTCTCTGCACTGCAGAAGCAGCAGAGGTGTGCAGGCTGCTTTTGAGCAGCATAAGCGGTTTGATGGCTGAAAATGCTGGAGGATGACCTCAAACCAGCCTTCACTCCAGAAGAGGCTTCAGCTCGTGATCTCATGGCTAATTAAGAACATCTTTGGCTGCAAGTTGTGACTCCAGTGGTAGCTCAGCCCTGAGTTTAATCCCCCAAACCAATAAAAAAAAAACCAGGCAGACAAGAAGCAGTCTTTGCTGGGCACTGGTAGCTCATGCCTATAATCCAAGCTACTCAGGAGGCTGAGATCTGAGGATTGTGGTTAGAAACCAGCTCAGGCAGGAAAGCTTGTGAGACTCTTTTATCTCCAATTAAGCACCAAAAGCCAGAAGTGGAACTGTGACTCTAGTGATAGAGTACTAGCCTTGAGCACAAAAGTTCAGGGACAGTGTCTTGGCCCTGAGTTCAAGTCTCAGGACTTGTGTACACACACACACATACACACTTCCGAGTGAGGAATTAACCACCATGGCCAGAAAGAAAAGCTTAAATTCAGGCCATACTTTTATGCATTTACACTCAGTAATGCTCTTGTCTTCAAAACAACGTGGAGGTTTCTGAGTGGACTCATGCATATACATTGCATACCCGTTGACGCAAAAATGATGATGTCATCACCCATACATCTGCCCTTTCTCAGTAGTGAGCACAAGACGCTAACCTTGCCCGTACTGTGTGTGCATGCATGGGCAGTGCTGGCTCTAAATAGCCAAGTAATTGGACTCTAGTTTCTCATCGCTACCTTAGAAAACACAAGGAAAAGGTGAAGTACTTCAAATGGAGAACTTTCGGTCCTCTACTGGAAATAAAGCAGGTGTCTGGGCATCTCTAGGAAGAGGTGTGCATGGCCAGACTGCAATAAGGGAGACTTGGAACCTGTGAGTTTCTGTCTTGCTTATGACTCGACCATGTAGTTTTGGTCAGGTCGTTCAATAGCTCACTGTGGGGCAGGTTGTCTCATCTGCAAAGCTAGACTAAATGCCATGTAAAGATAGAAAGATTACCGGCTGCAGGCATTGCTCCAGTGCTAGAGTGCCAGCCTCGAGAGGAAAAACCTATGAGTTCAAGTCCCAGTACTTGCACACACACACATATGCAAAGATAGATAGATAGATATTAATGCTGTGTGTGTGTGTGTGTGTGTGTGTGTGTGTGTGTGTGTGTGTTGTGGGGCCTGAACTCTGGGCCTGGGCACTGTTCCTAAGCTCTTTAGCTCAAGGCTAGCACTTTACCACTTGAGATACAGTACCACTTCCAGCTTTTTTTGTTTATGTGGTGCTGAGGAATCGAACCCAGGGCCTTATGCATGTGAGGCAAGCACTCTACCACTAGGCCACATTCCCAGCCCATATTAAAGCTTTTTTAATGCTTTAAAGTTGTATTTGTACTCACGTTACGAATATAAGATGGGATTTGATTGACTTATTAACTGTAGTCTTAAGATAACAGAGATCATGTAGTTTAAAGTCATGTACTTAAAAAGCATGATGATGGCCGGGCGCTGGTGGCTCACGCCTGTAATCCTAGCTACTCAGGAGGCTGAGATCTGAGGATCGCGGTTCAAAGCCAGCCCGGGCAGGAGAGACCGTGAGACTCCTATCTCCAATAAACCACCAGAAAACCAGAAGTGGCGCTGTAGCTCAAGTGGTAGAGCGCTCGCCTTGAGCTGAAGAGCTGAGGGACAGCGCCCAGGCCCAGAGTTCAAGCCCCACGATCGACCAAAAAAAAAAAGCATGATGATGGGCTGGGAATGTGGCTTAGTGGTAGAGTGCCTGCCTAGCATGTATGAAGCCCTGGATTTGATTCCCCAGTACCACATAAACAGAAAAAGCCAGAAGTGGCGCTGTGACTCAAATGGTAGAGTGCTAGCCTTGAGCAATAGAAGCTCAGAGGCAACGCCCAGGCCTGAGTTCAAGCCCCAGGACTGGGGGGAAAACAGCATGATGTTTTAATATCGTTAGTATTGAAATGATACCCAAACCATTTTTTTTTTTGTCCGTTGTGGGCCTGAACTCTGGGCCTGGGCACTGTCCCTCAGCTCTTCAGCTCAAGGCTAGCACTCTGCCACTTGAGCCACAGCGCCACTTCCAGCTTTTTCTGCTTATGTGGTGCTGAAGAATCAAACCCAGGGCCTCATGCATGGAAGGCAAGCACTCTACCACTGAGCCACCTTCCCAGCCCCAACCATTTTAAATGGTGTGAAATATCTTTTTGTTGTTGTTGTTGGTCAGGGAGCTTGAACTTAGGCCTTGGGTGCTGTACCTGAGCTCTTTTGCTCAAGACAAGAGCTCTCCCACTTTGAGCTCAAAGTGCTTAATTGGAGCTAAGAGTCTCATAGACTTTACTGCCTAGGCTGGCTTTGAATTGTGATCCTCAGAGCTCAGCCTCTTGAGTAGTTTGAATAGGCATAAATCACAGCACCTGGTGTAATGTCTTTAAGTGAGCACAAGTGAGTCAGGTGTGGTGGTCTATGCCTGTAATACCAGCTGCTGTGAAGGATAAGGGACTTTTTTTTTTT